TTTTTTTATCTTCCCATTTGTGGCTATATACTTTAAAAACTTCACTGATAACCTGAATGACCCATTTCTAAAGTACCCATGCTTTTAGTCACTTTGAAAGTGAAACAAGGTTTTTATTGACTTTTGATAAATGATTAATGTTAACATTTTCAGAGTCCATTATTTCCCCACATTTCTTATTGTAGCCTTGTTATATTTTATTATAATCATTCTACATTTTAATAATCACTCTACATTTTTAGAGAGATGCTTGTTAATACATTTTTGCTCTGGCAGTAGCCTATTTAATTTGATATGCTGTGTTTACATGTTTGAGATTTGACCCAAAGGAAAATACAACTGTTGTACTTTACAGTGAAAAAAAAGTAGCGGTGCACACACCCTCCCCATACACCCTCCTCATTAACCTCGGCCTCTTGGCAAGACATTGACCTATTTTCCTAGTAAGCCCGGGCTCCAATTGTGTTACCTGGCTGAGTCACAGTTGGGGCTTATGGAGGACAACCTGGCAATTACACTGTGTTCCTGGAGTCAATGTGCATTCATAAATCCTCTGGTGCCTGAAGTCTAAAACCTTTTGACCTGCTCACTGATTCTAAGCCATGAGGCAAAAATGAAACCTATAATGTATTTGTGGTACCATTTTACCTAAAAATCTATTATAGACCCATCTGTTTTAATTATTAAATTTGCTCATGACTTAATCACAATTATTGGTCAATCACCCCCACATATTCAAATCACTTTTTTTCTCTCCGCAGCTAAATATTTCTATCCAGGGACAGATGGTTTATCTTCCAATCCTCTTAGATGCATATAAGAATCTCCAAGTGTGCTCCATACATGAATGAAACAGTAAGTGAGGATACAGGCTGTTTTGTCTTTAGAGAAAAGGCAGTAAAGCAAACTATATTTGTTCTCCAAATGGTCAAAGAGCCAGGAGTGTGTGAGTTCTGTGCAAGTCTTTTTCTTAATGACACTTACTTGATTCACATTCCACTCCCCTCCCACACACTTCCCCTGCTTGCCTAGCCTTTGTTTAGGATAATCATGGCATTAGTATTCTTGGGTGGAATCCTCAGAAGTTGCTCAATGGCCTGCATTTGGCCAGAACCCTGTATTAGTGTATGAAAAACTAATTTCTATCATGTAATTATCCCTTTTGCTAAAAAATTTTTAATGTAAGATTAATTTTGTATTAAATATCACACTTTCATCTGCTACTACTTAATACTAGCTTCTGCATGCCATTCACAGTTATAATTGAAGTCATCTTACTTAGTAATGCAGTCCAGACACACAAAATGATTAATAAATTGCAATGATAGCCACAGTTTATCCATCGTTTACTCTGTGACAGCTATTGAGATGATCATTTCACAAATCATTCACAGGATTATTTTTACTTTTTATCATTAAAGAAACTAAGCTTTGTGAATTGCCTTCTCTAAAGGTCATAGTACCAGACAATGCATAGGCAGAATTTGCACCTAAGTTTTTTTTGGTTTCAAGGATTATGCAGGGAGCTACTGAGCTACACAATAAATACCAGGCCATGGTAATGCCCACTCAGTCCAAATATCACACATCTAGATTTTTACCCAGGCTCATCAAGTCTGCTCATCCTAGTTTTAACTGCTTTGGGGTCTAAATGAAGTAAAGAGCCATGTTTTAAAAACACTTGAAAAAATGAAAATGTTCTTTTATGCAACACTTGGTTGAGCTCCTCCTGTGAAACAGGCACTATGCTGCGCAGAGGTGGTAATCTAAAGGTGACTGTGCCTGCCTTTTGAGTTTAAGTTAGAGTAGAAGAGGAAGAACTGGAGCTGTATTGCAATCTATGTTGTAGCAGAGATGAGCATAGAAAACCATGGAAGCATGGTGGGAAAAGCACGCAGTGACACACTAGGTACCTTTTAAGGGGAAAAGAGGGGTTTTCCAGGCAGAGAAGAAACAGGTTGGGTGACAGGAACAATATGCTCAGAGAAGAAACAGGTTGGGTGACAGGAACAATATGCTCACTGTGAGCGGAGGTGGGCAGAGGGATGACATGTTTTATCCCAATAATGATGAAAAGTTCAGCAGAGCCAAGGTTAGGATGCACCATGATGGGACAGGAGGTAAAGAATGTTCAGAAAGAGGCATGCAGTGAGAAAGAGCCTCTGAAAGGTGTGATTGGGGACAGAATGTGACAGCCTGAGAACATTATGCAAAAGACCCTAATATCTAAAGGATCATGAGTAATGTACTGTGGAGAGGGGTGAAGACAGCAGGAGAGGGGTATGTCTGCCCCACAAGGGGAACTCTCTCTGCAGCTCTTGGACATTGATGCTGTGGAAGAATGCAGGCCCAACATTTGTAGATCTTCTGATTTGCCAAGACAAGCCAGAGATCTAAATCCCCAATTTTTAAATATCAGGAGTTAACTCAAAAATAAAAAAAAAATTAAAAAATCAGTGACTTCAGCAAAACAACTTAGCAGCTGGATTTGAGTTCTTCTCATAGACAAGAGCCTTGTTGTGTCTCTGAAGGCAACCAGTAGCTCATTTATCATTAAATTCCAAATCCTTGGTAAAATCTAGAGATACCATCATGTAAATAATCTTGTATAATTAGGAAGGTAAAACATAAATTTACCTTCTTTATGGTGTAGTTTTTAAGTGTACTGTAAACAATAATTATTGAGCAAATAAAAGTCTTTCCTCAGACCATGTTTCACCAAGTTCACTAATTGAACTTCCTATTTTCTTTTGTATCATTTTTAAAAACAATGTTCTAGAGTAACATAAGAAATAATCCATTTGTAAATGAGATGCAAACTAAATTTTGGTGTGTTAAAATTACTAGTTGGGATGCCACTCAACTAAGGCAGTTCTAGCACCCTGAGAGTCTCTGATAAACAACTGAGAGGGGAACCCTAACTCTGAGTAGAGGATCATGCAGGGAAACCCAATTTAAGCTTAACTACCCTCTAACTGCTAACCAGGCACTTCACAATTACTATTCCACTTTAATCAAATATTTTCCATTTGTTTCCTCATCTACCTTGTAAGTGTCCCCTTGTGCTCCTTGGTGAAGCCCAGACAACTTGTAGTTTAACAATGTCTGATTCTTGAATTGCTGTCAGCTTGAAAGAAATAATAAATGCTTAAGGTAAAAGATGTGTTAATTACTCTGATTTGACATCACACATTGTATATTCATATTGAATTATCACTGAACCCCATAAATATGTACAATTACATGTTAACTTAAAAATAGTCACACCTTTCAGAGGCTCTTTCCCACTGCATGCCTCTTTCTGAACATTTTTTAATGTTCCTGGTTTATCTTTTAACAGATACATCAGACTAATGAGAAGTTACCTTTTTAAAAAGGCCTGTGAAAACTTTAACATCTACTTTGCAACCTGAGTAAGTCCAAGGGAAATATTTATGTGCATGAAAAACAAATCCTGTCTGCAGCAGCTAGGAAGACAGGCTTTGAGAAACTCTACTGGATTGGGTTATATTCTGTTGGTGTGTGTGGGTTACCACTTCTTACAGGGGAGTCGGGGAGGACACCTCTGAAAAGGCAGAGAGCAGTGTTGACAATGTCAGGGAGAGGGCCATAAGGAGGTCCCTATGACCAGAGGGCAATGAGTGAGAGTGACCTGCAGGGAAGATCTAAGAGCAGGGCAGGGGTAGGGAGACAGATGATGTGTAGACAGATTGGAGCCATTTGCTCCAAGTGAGGTGGGAGGTCCTGAACCATGGTTCTGTAATGGGGAGCCATAGAACCACAGGCTTTGACCCAGGCTTTTCAAGAACCACTCTGGCCTGCTATACAAGGGTGGCAGAGGGAGACCAGTTAGGAGGCACCTGTGGTCAGCCAGGCAAGAGATGATGATGACTTGGACCATGGTGGGAAGAGGGAATGGTGAGAAGTGGTTGCGCATTTCATAGCTTCTGAAAAGATTCGAAGGAATGAACTGTGGGTTTTGAGAGTGGGGTGTCTCCAGGTCTTCAGCTTAAGCAACTGGAAAGAAGGAAAGAAGGTTGCCTTTTTTTTTTTTTTTTTTGAGATGGGGAAGACTAGGACAGGAAGTGCTGCTGATGCTGGTGGCTGAGGCAGCAGGATTAATTTTGGACATATTTAGAGATGTATATTAGGCCTCTAAGTAGAGACATTAACCAGACAGTTGGATATTCAAGTTAGAAGAGAACATCTGGGGTGTGATGAAGACCAAGGAGAATCCTCAAAAGCTAGGAGAAAGGGGTATGGGGGGGTGATATACAATGACCCTCTTGAAAAAGTTTCAGGTATTTTCATTTGTATCATGATTATAAAGTTCTATGATGACTGTAAAAGTATGTGGTAAGAAGTGGCTAAAGATTCTTTAAACAATTAATAATCCTGTGATTCCTACAGTGTGGACCTCGGCCCAAGAGCAGCAGCACCACAGATGAGCTTGTTAGAGATGTGAGTGAAGGGGCTTCCGACCTGGGAGGTCATAAACTTGAGGTAAGGCCCAGGAAATGGTGTGGACAAGCTCTCCCACAGATTATTATGTTCACTGAAGCCTGAGTGGGCTATATGATGAGCAAACTAGTTACTTCTGGGTTTTAAATATTAAGAAAAAAAATGAATTTTTTTTTTAGAAAAAACATCTTTATTATTTGAAGCATAAAAAAGAGTAAACAAAAATCGTACATTTCATTCCTTAACCTTCTCAATAAAGTTATAAAAATACAATGTCACTTGGTCTTTGTAAGCTCTTGAGAATGTCTAGAGGATCAAAAGGCACAACACACAATGAGATGGTAAAAAATAAAACCTGCTCATAGGTACGATTGAGGAAAGTTTCTAAAAATAGGCTCGCACATAAATAGGGCTTTATTTTTTCTTCCTTCCCAAAACCCAGATAGCATCTCCCCCATCTTATAGATCTTACACATGTGATCTGCCTTCTCCCACCTTTGCTCTTAATGCAGGTTAACAGAAAAGCCAGCTACAATTGATTTGCCTGGTTTTTTTCATTTTAATTTCCATTTTGTTTAAGGTAAAACAGGATTCTTAAATGGTACTCAAGATCTTTTAGAATATCTGGCTCATTTTCATTTTATTTCAAATCACAATTCATTAAAAAATAGATGATGATGCAATTTTTTTTATATAAAAAAGGACTTATTATTCACTTGCTATATATGTCTATATTTTTAAATGCAGCTGTTGCATCTTTGGCTTTTAGTATGTTGAAATCACACTAACATGATCTTTGTGAATCGTGACCATAGGTTCAGTACAACCCAAACCATTCATTGCATTTACCTGTGATAGGTGCTTTAACTCTTCATTTTCCTCAGGTTGGCCAAACGAAATACAATGTCCATCATAAATAAAAAAAAACCCCACTACTGTGTATGTCATATATGTTCTATTGCTGTGGAAATTCTGTGGCCTGGGAATTTTTATTAGATCATCTTTTCAAGACATTGAAGATTCTTCTTTTTAACTGAAAGAAATGCAAGTCAGATCAATAATTCATCCTCTCCATTTAGGACGCTGTTTTAGAGGCAAGTGAATCATTTCACCTCAAGAATGTCCACTAAAGAAATACATTCATTACTTTAAGGAGTTGCCTAAACATGGTCAATCTGAAATGATTTAGCAATGAAATTCAGAGATTTGGTTATTTTCCTGGCAGGATTTGTACTATAAATGAAAACTGACATTTAAAATAACATGTGGGAAAATACAGAGTCACTTGGATGCTTCCACTTTATTACTGCAATCATAACTAGTAGTGATTTAAATTAGTCCTTGACATTGATTTGTGTGTTTAAATTAGTCCTTAAATATGCCTTTTTGCCTTTTGTTCTGTTGCTCACCCTTTGAAGAATGCCATGATAATCAGTGCATGGTGTGTTGTGCCGAGCACCCTGCACGGCCTTCTTGAGGACGCGTCCGCTGATTGTGCCTTGCTCACACATTCCTATTCAGCTTTTCTGTTGGACGACACTGATAAGCTTGTGTTGATTTTCAAGGCAGTCTTTCAGCTTATCCTCTGTCAAAGTCAGTCGCTGCTCCAAAATGGAAACTGTCTACAAAAGGGAGGACAGAATAATCAATGTCCAACGGTAACCTGGAAGGTAACCTGGAGATAGGAGGACGGTGGACCTCTGCACAGGAGATCCTTTTATGAAGCCTCAAAGCCAAGGAGGAGGCCCCATGCAGCATTCCAAGTGGAGTCACGGGCTACATGGTAGTATGGGGAATGGTGGGGGTGACACATGCCTGGTCCAGGTAGGTGCTTTTCAAACATCATTTTCATCATTCTGTCATGATCCAATCCATGATGCATCATACCCATCACACCCCAGAGAGATGGACAACTGGAAGACTTTGAAAGTACCATGATTGCCATCAGTCCCTCACGCAGTACAACAGAAGCTCACAGCGTGGCTGGAAGCATTGAGTAAAGACACATGTGTGCAGTGGGTAGGCAAGTGCTGGGCATGCAGGACCCGGGCCTTGGCTATCCCTCCTCCTTTGGGGAATGATGCATATGCTCCATTTAGAACAGACATACATGTGTAGGTTACACTTAGGACATCTAATTTCTCTGTGATATTGACTATTTTCAATCTTTTTTTTTAAATATAAAAAAACTTCCTTAGAAGCTAAAATAGACTATTCAGGAAACCACATAAAACACATGTGTCACTAAATGAATGCATATTAAACAATGCCCTCCTAGCTATTACTCAATAACTAGAACTTTGCCAGCTACCTTGGAGTGCCTTCCGTGAGCCTCCTACAATCACCACCCCTCCCTCCCTCTGTAACAGCCACTACCCTTGACCTTCATAATCACTGTTATGTATTTCCTTATGGTTTTATTTCCCTGATACACACTTCTAGACAGTATAATTTCTCCTTTTCAAGATCTGATACATGACTTTCAATCGGCAGGTGCCCATTTTCTCCCTTTCTTTTCTTGACAGTTTGTCTGCTGACAAGCTCAGGCACTCTAACGTGTGGAGTTTCCACCAAGTCTGGATTTTAGGGATTGTGTGTTCAGCCTGTGCTTCCATCCTCTGTATATTCTAAAAATCGGCAGCTGGATCCTAAGGCTTGATCAGGGTAGATCCCTTGCTAAGACTTCGTGTGGTAGTTTATTCTTTTTTTAGAGGACATGTTAAAAATGTTTGGTTGTTTCCCTTTCAGTAATGTTATAGTAACAACTCAGTGCCTAGATCTATTAATTTGTGGGGAATGTAAATGGTAATACTGTAATTCTATCACTTAAAAAGTTTATTAGCCTGGGCAACTTAGTGAGCCCTATCTCAAAATAAAAAATATAAAAGTTCTGAGGATGTAGCTCAGAGGTAGAATGCCACCGGGCTCAATCCCTAATATGGCAAGAAAAAAAAATTATAAATAATTTATAATAAGAGTCAGTTTCATCATCTGCTAATTGGTTACCCAGTGGTAGAGTTCACATAGGAAAAGCAGGATAAATGCTTGGTTATATTAGTCATCAAATTTCATGGAAAAAGTTGATTTCTCATCATACTTTGAAGGTAATCAGTATATCATTATTTAAACCTTTTGCTTTCATATTCCACAGAACAGGTGGCAACTAACTAAAATTAATGATGCTGATAATACTTTCTCCTATTTCTTGAGTGTGTACATACTATGTACTAAACAATTTGCCAGATACTTTATGCATGCTATTGACATCTTTTAACATTGGTAAACTCTATCTGCTATATAACATATAATTTCATTTTTATTTATTTCTAATTATAGTTCAGTTATAAATACTCTGAACCTTAGGTGGTGTTAAGCCACCTGTAATTAAAGTGAATCAAAGCTTATTTGTTTGTTTGTTTGCTTATTTATTTTGTAGGGCTGGGAAACTCAGGTCCTTACACATGCTAAGCAAATGCTCTATTGTTGAGCTATATCCCCAGCCCTAAAGGATATTTATTTTACTTGCTACTTGCCCACAAATTCACTGTTGCCCTTTTGCAAATGTGCCATCTACTTTTAATTTCTTTCATATGTAGAAGGAATAAAGCCCTTCAAAATTAAAAATCATAGAGAAATTTAATAATGCTTAAAATGATTCATTTAACTTTGAATCAAGTAAAAGGAGAAATGGGTCATGAAATGGGAATGGAAAGAGTCATTTTGGAGAGATCCTAATGCTCATCTGACACTGATGATAGTTTAGATAGGGAGCTCATGGTAATGTGGGAAACAAATCAATTATAACTAAATTTGCAACAAAGCTGAGAGGGCAATGGCTTTTGAAAGGAAAGAAATGTCTGATAAATACAGAGAAAGTCACCTCTTTCCTAATATTATGAAATGAAAATGGGTGATTGTAATATGATTTTTTTTGAAACTTCAAAATGGATAGTTTTGTCAGAATTTTTTTCTTTCTTTTTTTCTTTATTTCTTACATACATGAAAATAGTGGAGTGCATTACATTCATAATATGATTTTCATTGAGCAAATCCTACAATGACTCCCAAGTTTTCACATGACTCTTTCCCAGAGTCTGTCAGGACTCTGAACCTACAGATATGCTTCTTAATTTCAAAGCCCCTGAGATGGTACACCCAGGACTGAAATACTCATTTAATTAGTGGTTCTACACATTGGCTGTAAGAGAGAATCATATCAGGTGCTTATATGACTGATGCCAGGGTCCCATTCCAGTCTGGAGGTAAGATCTATGATAGCAGACCCAGTAACAGAATGCTTGGCCAGATATGAGAACAGACTCAGGTAATTTCTATGAAATAGTTATTTCAACTTGAAATACTTAATTCTGAACATCTCTCTAATTGACATCTCTCTAGTTCATACTTTAGTCTCTCTTATAACTTGGGACAATGTCCACTCTGACAAATATTGCAACAGATATTGTACATATCAAGGAGGAACAACAAAAACCTTCTCTAAAAGAAACATGGTATTAGCAGAGCTGTAGGAAACCTCTGGAATATCCATTAGGTTCTCCTTATATCACATCTATGGTTCTTGATAAAGGGTTGAAAGACTTTGGTATATCATTTAAGGCCCTCTGTATTCCTTTTCTGTAAAGATGAATTAGCCTGAAAATACTGGTTAAGATTCCAAAATGGGAATGCAAAGCTAACACCCTGGAAAGAAAAACTGTATTCAAATAAGTAGCTTTGGAACGAGAGACTGCTCCATAGGACAGACAGAATGTTTTCAGAGTGAAAAACTGTAAACTGGCAATGTTTCATATTAACCATAAATGTTTGTTCCAATTCATTTTTCTTATGGCCCTAAATATTTCTTTATGAGTGGCTCAACGTGAACAAACTGCATCACAAATTCTAAGGGCAAAAGATTACTGCCTATGGGCTGGGGATGTGGCTCAAGTGGTAGCATGCTTGCCTGGCATGCATGTGGCCCAGGTTCGATCCTCAGCACCACATACAAACAAAGATGTTGTGTCCGCCGAAACTAAAAAATAAATATTAAAAATTATCTCTCAAAAAAAAAAACCAGCACAATGATTCACTAAAAACATATCATTTAAAAAAAAAAAAAAGATTAATGCCTAAAACCAAACACACTCATAGGCTCATAGCCTGAAGTACTGTTATTGTTCTTAATAACACACATTGCTTTTCTGGCCTCAGTATGTTTATGTAAACGTGTGTATGTGTTTGCACACACACATGCATTCATGCACATGATCGCTGAGCTTCTCCACACGATCTTACTTGTTACGTGATTGCCACCTTGGGTATGCTTGCTAGTAAAAATTTCCTCCTGTTCCTTTTTTTTTTTTTTTTTTGCGGGAGGAGGGTAGCAGGCATTGAACTTGGGGGCACTCAACCACTGAGCCACATCCTCAGCCCTCTTTTGTATTTTATTCAGAGACAGGATATCCCTGAGTTGCTTAGCATCTTAATGTTATTGTGGCTGGCTTTAAACTCATGATCCTCCTGCCTCAGCCTCCGATCTGCTATTCCATTGGTTTTGCAATCTGCTCTGACCAGGATTGCTTGGTGTATCTTACCTTTGAGGCAAAGCATGCCAACCCACCTGTGTCAAGACATTGAGCTGTTCCATGATGTGTTCTAAAGCGTCTGTCACAGCAAGCGGTATGCTTCTTTGGCTCTCGGAGGGAAAGTCACTAAATTCTTCTGTTTTATTTTTCACAGCTATTGCTGAACAGTCTGCTGACATTAAGGAAGGGTTCATGAAATATCCACAGATATCTTCACCCTTGTCTGGCAGATTTCGACCACTATTTTCCGTTATCTTTAATGTCATAGAAAAGATAGGAAGAGTTATTTTTCCAAACTTTAAAATGATATCTGTATACAAAAGTTTTAAATATTCCTCCTCTAAAATTTCCAAGCTTAGGTTTAATAATTTATCCTCAATTATAATAAATTAAAGAAACTACAACCAGGATACAATGCTAACAGTGAACAGAAATATGACATCTTTCCTTGTCATTGAAAGACACCGTACATATGTCTGTCTGAAAGATCAAGTGTTATGCCATTAAAAAAAAAAACTGCTGCAAACTTGGGATGCAGCTCAGTAGTAGAGTGCTTGCCAGCATGAGTCCCTCGGTTCAATCTCCAGTACCACAGTGGGAGAAAAAAATCTAAAATACCTGAGAGAGAATGACTTTTAGGGTATGAATAAATTCCATACCCTTTAAACAATCCCATTATTATCATTTTGAACTACTCAACTTCATATGACAAAGAAAAGCTAAAACTGTACTGAAAATGTCCAGAAGAAAACCTGGTAGTCACAGATGCAAGAACAAGTTACTGTAGAGGACTTTTAATGCTATTCATTATTTGTACTCACAAGCATCTATGACCTGCCATCTATTCATACCCTGAGCAGAGGATCTGGGAAGAGACATACAGCCCTTATGTTTATGTACATGGGCCCCCAGCCCCTGGGCTGGCAGCAAAGACTGGGATGAAAGCAATAGCAATGTAAAGGTAAGTATAGAAACACAAAGGACTCACCAGGAATTCCTCTCTCATGATCATAGCCTACATTATTCCTGATCCTAGGAAAGCACCTCATTCACTGGGGACAATATATGGTTGCCCATGCACACACTTTCTCACCCCAAAGTAAATAATTTCTGCTGAAAGAACAAACTTTTCTTTCTTCCTTGCTTCTTCTCTGTCTGCAATGAACATCTCTGATACCCTAGTGTGGCTGAGCCCTTTGCAGCCTCCATGTCTCAGAATAATTGTCACATTTTCAGAAAAGTAATCTTGTCTACTCTAATAAAGCTGGACTTTCTGTTTGCTAGCTGGGCATCCTGATGATTTCCTCAGTAACCGATCAGAGTTTACATTTATATATCTGTTCCTTGTTTACTGTCTTTTACAGTAGGATGTACCATGTCTACTACTCTCACAACTGTATCCCTTGGAGCTAGTATCATGTCTAGTACTTAAAAGAAACTTGAATGTCTTTTACATGCAGATTTCATCACTGTTCTCACAGATGAAAACCAAATTCTCTATAACCAAAGAGTTTTATTTACTTTTTAACACATATCACAATATACGTAAATACATACACGCATGGCCACAAATATCATGGGTCATACTGAAATCACAGCTCCAGCCCTTTGTGGAAAAAGGACTCAACCTAATTAACAAATCAATCTTTAATCTCTGGTGGTTTGTAGTCAAGGTGGTAAGTGAAGAAAGGGCAAAATGAAAATGGGGGCAAATGACTTAAGACTGTCTAAATGATAAAAGAGCTCTAACGGCCTAAACAATAAACTTCTTGTTTGGGATCAGCCAGCAAATACATTGCTATCAAATGACTTATGGAGATGAACAAAAGATAGAGAACGGTAAAGGCTGAGAAAACCAGTACCAGATCTCCAAGTGGCAGTATCAGTCAGCCGACATATTTGCCTTTCTGTCTCTCAAAGGTACTGGGACCTGCATGTAAGCAGATTCTTTCCCACCAACTAACCTTGCCTTTGCATTGTTGTACAGGGAAAGAGTGAGAGGCATGACTTGGGGAAGTTTCACTATTCTAATAAAATTAAGCCACTATATCACTATATTATAGTGATATCACTACACTCATAAAAAAGTTACTGGTGTTTAATTAACACTTTGGGCTGACAGAATTCCAGCAAATGAGTTGGTCCTATTTTAAAGTTGCTAGTATTCATTTTTTTTTCTCTTTTTGAGTACACATTCACTGAGCACCTACTTCACAGAGAGCACCTACCAGTTGTACCTGTGAGTGTGGTATCTTGCCTGCCCTCAAAGGATTCTCTACTGTGGGAGAGAACCAAGATAGAACAGAGCTAGATTCCCTCCCAGCACCTGCCACATCTCTGTCACTGCTGAGCAAGCAAAACAGACAATTGATGACTGGGCTAAAATGAAGATTTGCAGTCCAAACTATTATTACTTATGTAATTAGCAAAGGAACATTCAACATATTGTGGTACTCAATTACTTCTCTGTATTCTCAAAATTCACCCATTATATATTTATTCCTTTTTCTCCTCTCTTCCTTCTAACCTTCCCACCCACCCACTGTCTGGACCAGTAAGTCAGAATTAATCACTGGTGCCTCTTCACTTTGTTCATGCCATGAGTAGAACGTTTGTCACTTCTTGATGTATTTGTGTCTGCATCTTGGCATTTCCTAGCAGATTGTGAACCTCTTTTGAGGGACAGAGTCATAACTTTATCATCTTTGCTCTCAGGTGTCTAGCACAGTATATGAGACAGTTCAGTTCACAGCATTTGTTGAACTGAATTCAATTGACTGTCCTGCATGAGCTGAGCCATCCACATACAAAAAAAAATATTAATAACATAGTATTTGGAGAGAAGTATAAACCCAAGGTAAAGCCAATGCTACTCTCTGCTAGAAATTCCTATCCTTAATGGCTTGGAGCACAATGACAGAGCAATGCATGCATCTATTACCTAACTACAAATCACTTCATGATTTTTGACTGCTAATAGCATATTTGATGGCTTCTGGTGGAATAACACAATGATTTTTCCAACAAATGTGAAGGCAAAAGAAAGCATTTCACTTGTAAAGACAACCAGTGACTTAACTTCAGATATATCTTTAATAAACTAATTAGAATATATCAGTTTTGTTTACAATCAACATTTCTAGATTCGCTTTCATTCTGTAAGTAGAGAACAAAACAGACAAAAGGCAGACGAGTCTATCTAAGAGTGGTCTTGACCCTTCTACTCAAAGTGAGTTTCCCATCATGGATGATTTTAATAGCCTAGGGATGGTCACTTGTCAGGGATATTGTGAGAAAAACACAAACATCAGATCAGGAAATTCAACTGAATGTCTTTTTGAGTCTACACCTAAGGAGCTGATTTTGCTTTCATTAGAACTTTACATAAAATCATATTATAGTAGAACCTTTTGGTATTTTCTTTTAATCGACATTGTTAGATTTATCCCACGGTGATGCATGGGATTCTAGTTTACTTACTTATATTGCCAAAATAGTATTCTTCTGAATATTCCACAAACTATCCTTTCTACTGTTAATTAACAATGACTGCTATAGTGAGCACTTTTGTAAATGTCTTGGTATAAGATTTCTTGCTAGTGTGGTGCCGCAGTCTGGCTGGGCACAAATCACGAGCTCCTGAAGCAGGAACAAACTCTATTTCTGAACCCCACCAGCACACTCCACACACGCTCCCCAGGAACCCTCTGGAACACCACGCGGCTCCTCCAGGAACCACCAATTGGAAATCCCTCCTCTGGTACTTCCCCAACCAATGAGAACTCTTCAGGAATCCCCACAAGAGCTCAACCGGAACTCAATGGGAACTCTTCGAGAACTCAAAAGTCATCATCTTAATGGCTTGCTGGCGTCACCTCTCAACCACTACTTCTGGCAAAAGTGCCATGCATCATCCCTACTTGGCTGTGGCCCTCAACAGTGTGGAATAGCTAAATCATAGTTTTTATAATTATTGCTCAAATACTAGAATTAACCTCCTACTAGCAGAAGTCACTTTTATCTACAAAGTCAGAAATAATTGAGTATTATTACACATCAAATTTTACAAAAATTATGGGCAGAAAATCCCACTTAATGGCTTGAATTTCATTGTGCATTTCTTAGATTACCAGTAACTTGAACATATTTTATGTGAATATTGGTAACTATTCTGTAAATTGCCTACTTAAATCTCCCACCCATGTTTCAATTGCTCTATTTCTCTCATTTCTAATTTGAGAGTTCTCTATATATTTTGGACAATGATACTTGTTCTTTATGTGTATGATACATTCCCTCCTCTGTGGTTTGTTTTCACTATTATTTATGAAATTTTAAAGTACAAGTTTTGTTTTTAATGTAGCCAAACTTATCAGACATTTTCTTTATGATTTGTGTAATTTGTATTTCTTTTAAAAGAAACTTTTGCATACCCAGAATTCACATTGCCTTTTTTTTTTTTTTTTTTTTTGAGATTTTAAAGTATTACTTTTCACATTTAAGGCTTTAACCTATCAGGTATTGATTTTTTTTGTTTCTGGCTAAAAGTACCGCAAAGAATAGGATTTTAATTGATTATTATTTTTAAATGGATGATTGTCACAGCAACAATCAAGGAAGAGTGCATTTGGTCTTTCTCTATGGATCTGCAGTCACCTTCCACACAGCGACTGTCCACACCTGTGTGGTTCTGTTATATGCCTTCAGTCATGGATTCTTACTTTCTCTTTGCAATATCATACCTGGAGCTTAAGAAGTCTTCAACCTTCAGAACTACCCTGGACATTTTTTTTGGTTGTTGTTCTTTGCTTTGTCAAATAAGTTATACAATTAACTTTTTAAGTTTTAAGTTTCATTAAACATATTACTGGGATGCTTATTGGTATTTTCTCAAATTTATAGACTTCTAAGAAGTAACACTTTTATGATGCCAAGCCTATTTATAAAAACAGCTCCAAAAACATTGACTACTTGATAAATTTCATGTTATCCTGACACTCTGGTATCTTCTATATCTCAATTTTAATATATGTGCTGTAAAATCAAACATTATATCACTAGCTTTTTATGCTAGAAAGTCAACCAAGTGAATAGTCAAAGAATGTCCTCCATAACTGTCAGGGTTTTTTTTTTTTGTTTTTTTTTTTTGGTACTAGGAATTGAACCTAGGAGCACTTTACCACTGAGCTACATTCCCAGCCCTTTTTATTTTGAGACAAAAATCTCACTAAGTTGCCTAGGCTGACCTTGAACT